AAAAAGTCAGATTTGCGGGATATAAACTCGCAATTACGATAAAAAAGTCACAATTGCGGGATATAAACTCACAATTGCAATAAAAAGTCCGAATTGCGGGATATAAACTTGCAATTGCAATTAAAAAAGTCAGAATTGTGGGATATAAACTTGCAATTGCAATTAAAAAAAGTCCGAATTGCGGGATATAAACTTGCAATTGCAATTAAAAAAGTCAGAATTGTGGGATGTAAACTCGCAATTACAATAAAGTCAGAATTGCGAAATGTAAACTCGCAATTACGATAAAAAAGTCACAATTGCGGGATATAAATTTGCAATTGCGATAAAAAGAAAGTAAGAAATCCGGGATATAAACTTACAATTATGATAAAAAGGTCAGAATTGTGGCATGTAAACTTGCAATTGCGATTACTGGAGCAGACGTTCATGTTTTGTCACTAACAAACTTCTTAATAAACTACAAATACACTAGAATCTGAGTTCATGTGCGCGACGAGAACCGCTGTCGTCCACAGGGAGCCGTTTGCATTTTAAAAACACACAGTTCCTTCAAAATTCATGTTTGATGAAATTTATGTTATAAAACACAACGTGAGGCATCAAGTATGATAACCACAGATCTTATTCTACTCATAAATTCAGAAACTGCTTCAGAAAAGTGAATTAGCCATCCGTTGACCTAAACAAATTGTTGATAATAGCCTACATTTAACTGTTATATTGCATTATAAAAAATAATAATAATTATAATAAATTAAATTAAGAATGCATATCAATTATAATAAGTTAATTAAAATAACTTAATAATAAATATAAGTTAGAATACATATAATTTAAATACATTAAAACTTTACAATTGTAAAAAAAAAAATCTTTGTCTTACATGTATATATATAAAATTATAACCAAGTCAATTTTGACTTCTGTAGTTTCAACATTTTGTCAATTTCGACTTTTTGTCATAATTATAACTTTTTATGTCATAATTGTTTTAGAAAAGCATGATACGTGGCAGAAATAGACTTCCATGATGTAATCAAGTGAAATATAATTGACTTTTTATGTCGATTTAGAATTTTTATGTCATAATTATGACTTATGTCAATTTCATCTTATGTGAATTTTGAAAGTCAATTCCAACTATCTCTGCTTTTTAACTAATATCAAGGCTGCATTTATTTGATAAAAAATACAGTAAAAATAGTGAAATATTATTATAATGTAAATCAGCTGTTTTCTATGTGAATATACAGTAAAGTGTAATTTATTCCTGTGATCAAAGCTGTATTTTCAGCATCATTACTCCAGTCTTCAGTGTCACATGATCCTTCAGAAATCACTCTAATATGATGATCTGATGCTCAAGAAACAGTTATGATTATTATCAATATTGAAAACAGTTTCATATTTTAGTGGAAACCTTTATTTTTCAGAATTCTTTAATGAATAGTAAAGTAAACAAAAGTAACTTTATAAATGTCTTTACTACACTTTTGATCACCTTAATGCATCCTTAATTTCATCTTCCAGACCCCACACTTTTGAACAGTAGCGCATCTCTCAGACTCGTTTCTGAAATCATCGCTCAGGGAAATCTAATGCAGGTTTTTCAGATGTAGTAAACCTGTGTGTGTGTGTGTGTGTGTGTGTGTCAGGCGTTCTCGTGGCACTCGGAGGCGTGTGGGAACGGCAGTGTGGAGTCTCAGGGCGCTCTGGGAGTCATGTATCTGCACGGCCTCGGTGTGCAGAAGGACCCGGACTCGGCCCTGTTCTGCCTGAAGGACTCGGCGGAGAGAGGGAACGTTTACGCCCAGGGTCATCTGACGGCCTGCTACTACCAGCGCAAACTCTACTCCAGAGCCGCAGCACTGGGAGAACGGTGCAGCCACACACACACACACACACACACACACACAACCAAATAATCCGTTAGTAATGGGATTGACGGCTCAGTCGGACTGAAAAGCCTTCATGTAAACACTTTAATCGATTGGATTGAAAGGGGGGTTTATTCCTTTTTCTAATCTGATCGAGAGAACATGTAAACACTTGATCGGATTGAGAACCGGAACTGAAAGGACTGCGCATGTGCAATGACGTAGTTATAGCGCAATGACGTGTAACGCGCTGTTCTTCTGTTGAATAAAGTGTCGTATAAATTAGTGTCCTGTAATTCTATAATTCTCCTTTCACTGTGAAGTGGAGCAGGACAACGGCCACCAGTGCTGGTCTCAGACTCTCATCCACACACGACTGGTTTAGAGCATTTTACTGCGTGATCAGCGGTACAACAAATGCTCATTGTCTCCAAATTATGACTATAAATGTATAAATATTAAGTCTGCAGTTTAAATCCGTCAATATGGTTACTAATGGATTATGTGGTTGCATGTAAACGTAGCCGGTTTGATTCAGCATGTAATAACTGGTTTTGGCTGTTCTCAGAGTGTGTGGATACGAGGACACGAGCGCCATCGCGAGACACACCGGCTGTCTGGAGGAGTTCATCAGGAAGGGCATCACTATTGCCATGTTTTACTTCGCACGCTGCCTTTATCTGGGCCGAGGGGTCCCGCAGAACAGAGACAGGGCGAAAAGATACTTCACACAGGTACACTAAAGTGCAAATAGAGATAGACGGTATTTACACCTAGTGGAAATGGCAAAAAAAGAATTTTCTTTGCAGTTATGCCGAGTTCAGACTGCACGATTTTCAAAATAATCGGGTCACTGTTGTTTTCACACTGCATGACTATCTGGGGTAACATTCAGTTGCTGCTGTGTTCACACTGCACGATGGATCGGCGACAGGAGGTTTCACACCGCATGACTTTACAAAAGAAAGAATCGCCGACAACTTCTGCCTGGTCCGCAAACTACGTTTCACAACCAAACAAACGCGAGAAGTGATAGGAAATAACGGAAGATCACGCGTGCGTGAGACCAGAGTTCTCGCGCGACACTGAATTTGTTATTAAAAATGATAGCCAACAAATTGTCTGTGCACTGATTTGTAGCGAAAATAAAAAAATAAAAAACAGTTTATGCAGGAAATGGTTGGGAAGACGAGGGGAGCAAGGACTGTGTTTTGCAAAGAGAGTTGGGGGTAAATACATAATTTTGCAAATGTCCTGCTGTTGCTGCTGGTCATGCAAATGTTTGTGCTTTGTTTCTGTTTGATACAATTGTAAATATAGGCCTATCTATTAAAATACTGATATTCTGGTCTATAACTCCTCCTCCTCCCTGTATCTTGCTCTCTCATTGGCTGTCGGTCATCGCCGATGTAGTTTTCAGTCAGAACACATTCACACAGCAGGATTGTGAATCGCCGACAGGTCCAGATATTCAGCATGCCAAATATCTCACGGGCGTCGGCGACTCGTCGGCGATTCTCTCAGATCGCGTCTTTGCTCATTCACATTGCGTGATTGTCACTCGCGTGAACGAGCACCGATTTGCCTGTGATTTCGGGCATTTGTCGGCGATTTCTCAAAACCTGTCGGCGGGCTAAAATCGTGCAGTCTGAACTCGTCTGCGAGCGTTTTTGATGCGTTGTTGGCTCTTTCATACTAACAGATTGGCGAGCATTCATCGGCCGCTAATCTCCCGCGATTTGCACGCGATAACACCCTGACCTGTCGGCGAGCTCAACGATTTGCAAATCGGGCTTAAAATCATGTAGTGTGAACTAGGCTTAAAATGCCCTGCTGATGAGAAAAGATTTGGGAAATAATCAAAGTAATTCTGACTTTTTAAATTGCAGTTGAGAGATTATCTCTCAAAAAGTCTGCGTAATATATAAACTCACAATTGCGATAAAGTCAGAATTGCGGGATATAAATTCGCAATTGCGATAAAACAAAATCTGAATTGCTGGATATAAACTTGCAATTGCGATTAAAAAGTCAGAATTGTGGTATATAAACTCAAAATTATAATTAAAAAGTCAGAATTACAGGATATAAACATTTGCATTAAAAAAATCATAATTGTGGGATGTAAACTTGCAATTGTGATAAAAGTCAGAATTGTGGGATGTAAACTTGCAATTGTGATAAAAAAGTCAAAATTGTGAGATATAAACTTGCAATTGCGATAAAAAAGTCTGAAATGTGGGATATAAACTCGCAATAGCGAATTTGCGATAAAAAAGTCAGAATTGTGGGATATAAACTCACAATAACGATGAAAAGTCAGAATTGTAGGATATAAACTTGCAATTGCGATAAAAAAGTCAGAATTGAGGGATATAAACTCGCAATTGCGATAAAAAAGTCAGAATTGTGGGATATGAACTTGCAATTGCGATAAAGTCAGAATTGCGGGATATAAACTTGCAATTGCGATAAAAAAGTCAGAATTGTGGGATATGAACTTGCAATTACGATGAAAAGTCAGAATTGCGGATGATTTGAGCGATCTGTACTGTATAAAGCTGACTGGACTGCTCTCGTTGTCGTCAGGCTGCCAGGATGGATCCAGAAATCTGTCAGGAGCTGCAGATGAACGTCGTACACGGCAGAATATAAACCACACATCACTCGTTTCATCTCGGAGAAGTTCAGTATTATTTCAGTGTGATATAAAGATGATCCAAAGAGAGGCTAGTTTAAAATGCATGTGCCAAATTCTTACAAATGTAATCTTTATATTCAAGTCGGTTTTATTTTTTTATGGAAAAAGTTTAGCTAATATCTTGAATATGTGTGTATATATAAAATGTGTTATTTTTCAAAAAGTTTTCAAACATATTTTTTTAATGAATGTTATAAATATTTTAAAACTAATACATAACTTTTTTTTTCTTTGAAATCATTACACGTATAAATACATCAACTGGATATTATTTACTTCCCCCACAAAAGAAGAAAGAAAACAATAAAAACAACAAAAAATAATATAATTTAGAAACTGAAGTACTCACTAAATTGTATTCAAGTGCATTTAAATGTATATATTTAATATTTTCTATATTGAAGACATGACACATGACA